GTGATGGTCTGGCCAGTCGGATCCGATGCGCCCGAAAGCGAAAGCTTGCGACACTTCCTGCCCCGTGCGGATTGATGTCTGTACTGTGTGATGTTTGCGCTTGTTCTCTTGGCGTCCGAGATGGGCTGCTGCTCAAGCTCGCTTAGCTGCTGCTGGATATTCTCGCGTTTCATCTCGTTGAGGCAGGGGGGGGGGGGGGGGATCTGCGCGCATCTATCCACGTCGCAAACTCGGCATCTAAAAACATTGTCAAGAAAGGGCACGCACGGATGGCCTTGCGCACCAACCACACCTGCCCACGCGACGCACCGCGGAGCGCCGTGAAACACCGCGCAATCTTCTCAGTTAGAGACTGGTTAGCCTGGGTGGCGCTAAATTTTAACATATCATGAGCAGCTCGCGCTGGAACTCAAAGCCCACACTGGCCCCGGGAGAACATGGAAGGCACGCGGGGGCACGATCAGAAGCGACGACCGACGTCGACCGCGGGTTCAAGGGCGAGGGCTGTCAGGTGGAGCTTCAGTGAAACCGAGCTGAACATGTTGATGCGCGCACGATCAATGCGACTGTAGCTGGCGACAGCGTGGGCCCCAGGAGATCCACGTTCTTCCCGCGCAACCCTGCCTGTGGAAGGCGGCTGCTCGACCTCGCAGAAGTCGCCAAAGAGCTGCGCTAAGAAAGGCGAGACATCATGGGCCGTGCAGCGCGCGCTGCCATCTGCATGGTAAATTGAAATCGCCAATCGCGAAACTGGCAGCCGCAGCCGGCGGCGTAAGAGCGCGACGAAAGAGAGAGAGAGAGAGGGAGAGAGAGAGAGAGAGAGAGAGAGAGAGAGAGAGAGAGAGAGGTGTCGGTTCTGTTCAGCAAGAAGGAGACAATGATCAACGCGGACATTCGCTATCTGCGGCGAGCCGCGCCTACCGCCTACGGCGACGGCTTGATTTCGCCCGGGCGCTGATCTCGGCGCACCGACAGTGCTGAAAACGCCGCCGACGGCCTGGGCGCAGAAAAATACAGACACCGCCCGCAGACCCATCATGACAGGATGACCCAATATCCCAAGAGTCGTATACTTCGAGCGGGAGCCTCTGGAATATATATATTATATATATATATATATATAATATATATATATATATATATATATATATATATATAAAGAAAAAAAAAAAAAAAAAAAAAAAAAAAAAAAAAAAAAAAAAAAAAAAAAAAAGGAGCCCCGCGTCTTGAACGCGCGCCGCCCCGAACGTCTGGAGATGGGATACTCGGCGAGCGACTTTGCTCTTAGATCTCCGAGGCGGAGGTAAGGCCGCCGAACAGCAGCGACCGCGCGTTCCAAGAAACGAAGCCCGCATGCTCCATCAAACCACACGGCGAACGCACCCAGTCCCCACGGTGAACTTCTCCCAGGCGGGTGCTGCCGATGACGGCGCGGCAATCTCCCAGCGCGGTCTGGCCGCCGGAATCATGGAAGAAGCCTGCTCTGATGCCAAAATGGGGGATGCCCTCTTGGTTGGCGGTGATGCCGCTGCCGCCCGCGCCCTGCTCGACGACGTTGAACAGCTCGGAGATGACGTCGGGGACTGGGCCGAACAAGACGCCTCGGACCCCGTCAACCCCGAGCCTGTGCGCGCTGTCTGTCCACCTGCTGGTCTGGCGAAGATGATGGGCGTTGATCTGCTGCCCTATATGTCCGAGCACCTTGTTCTTCTGGCGTGCGCTGGCTGGAGCGTTTCGGCGGCAGGAAAGCTGGATTTGCGCGTTGGAGCGGCTGTCATTCCGATGGGCGGCGCGCGCTCTGGCGTGGTCGAGGAACGAGGCGGCGCCCGCGCTGCTGGAGTAGGACTTGGCGAGGCTGCGGCCCTTGATGCTGATGCCGCCCTGCCGAATGTGCGAGGGGGTGTTGGCGACGAGCTCTTTTTCCGCGAGCTTCGGGCGACGTTTTGAGCATGGGTCGGGCGAACCCGCCAACCCACACTTTCAAGGGATTGTGATCATCGCCAGGTGCGGGGCTGGCGTGGCTTGACGGGCAGCGAGAACCTGCGGCGCGCAGTAGGCGGTGAAGATGCTTCCGAGCCTGAGGCGCGGCTCGAGGTCCTTGATTCGAATGCCGCCATGCGGGGCTCCATCTGCGCGTGCAACGCTGCGACAGCGGCGCCGCCAGCGGTAAGCTGCGCGTTCGATTCGAGCGAGACCAGCCTGCTGTTGAGGGAGACGAGCGTGGCGTCATGGCTCTCGAACCTCATGCGAAGCGTTTCCATGGGCCCCATGGGCTTCTCCACCGCTGCCAGGCGAGTTGCCACCGACGTTAGCGAGACAAGGATGTCACGCATGCCCTGCTCCACAGCACCATCAACCGCCGTGGGCGAGAGATGGAAGCGGGAGAAACGGGAGATGTCCGCTCGAGCTTGGCACTCGATATGGCTCCACAAGGGAGCTGCCCACTCAAATCGCGGATGGCCCTGCAACTTGACCCAACATGACGGAGGAGGAGGAGGAGAAAGAGGAAGAGAGGGAGAGAAACTTGGAACTTGGAACTTGGGTGTCAACGTCACGCGTCACGTCATGGTTCAATTCCGCTTTGATGCGCGAGAATGCAGAGTGGCTTTGACGAGACCGCGCCACTGCGAAGTCGGGACCAAAGTTTGGGACGTAAGCTGATCGTTGCACTTTTCTGGAAGAACTTGTCTAGCTGGGCTAGGGCGGCCCCATCATCATCGATACCCTGCGGGACCAGGGATGGGAGCAAAACATCTACCATGGCCTTGCCCAGCGCACGGCACAGCTAGGGAGGATACACTTTCTTCTGCCGTGTGATAGTGGCTGCGTCTTTGCCAAGCAGTCTGGCATGGCCTTGGGGGGCACGGCTGTACTTACAGCCCGCCGAGGTGTCCCGCTAGAGGCCAGGGAGGAAATCCAGGCGAACAGAGAGAATCGACGTGGGAGCTCGACCTACCTGCCCGACTTCGCATTGATCGAACTCGGTTCATTGGCAACAGGGTGCTACAATGAGTGCTTTGTGGGCTTGACATTCCAAGTAAGAACGGCCCCTGGCTCTCACGACGTGGGGGCCGGAAACTCACACCACCAAAAGCCGTCTACTACAGCCGTCAACACAAACAACTATAACATTATCCTCTATAAGAAATTCGATACCTGCAACTGTAAACACTGATGAGCCGTGACTGCCGCTACCCCCTAGGATCTAAATAAAGAGGGGCACTCGTCTTTCTAACGAGCTGCCGAAAACGTTTCACACGGGGGGGCCCCTCCAACTGCTGCAAATCTGCCACCTACAATGCGAGCGGACCAAAATGCAATAGTGTCTGATTTGCACAAATCACAGAATTCTGCATCTAACAAGATATCAATCGACAGGGCACGTAGTTCAATAGCTGGCAGAAGGAGCTCGAGTTGAATTTCTGCTTGCTCGTGGAGGTCGCCTATTCTGCGTTGGCCGCAGCAGAGGTTATCGGCTAACATAAAACAATATAGTGAGGCTACGAGGTACACTGTTGGCAAGCTGGCCTGAATATGCATCAGGGTCGAAAGGAATATTCAGAAAGATGGCGCTGACCGAAGCCAGCGCAAGACTTTCTTCATCCCTGTAAAAAAAGAGATCCGGCCCCGTGATGTGTGTGAACACATGTTGGTAGATTCAGTAGCCTGCTCAGGCGACTACATGGCACGCGCGAGTTCCACCGCAGGATGCAGAGGCACGGCTGCAATTGTGGACGGTAAGTCAGAATGCCCCGACCACGTGTCTCCTCATTATCAAGCTTCTCGAGCTCGGTATCCTGCTTTTGAATGTCCAAGCTGTTCTGTGGCACGTGGATGAGGTAGAAGACAAAACAGGTCGGGCGCCCTGTGGTTCCATGGCGGAGCGGCAGGGAGCGAGTGGGACGCACGCGCATGCAGCACCGACACCGATGGCCTGAGACGCATCGCCGAGCAATACCTGTGACAACAGCATGAATGCGGCGCCTGTAGGACGTCAGCGCTTTGAACCGCGCGGCGGACGAATCGCACATCCGACAAATCAATCGTACTGGCTGAGCAAGCGCGGGGAGAGGAAGGCCCTCAGAGTGTAGGAGGTTCAGAAGCCGACGTTGCCACCCCTCCAGATTACGCCTCGTCTTTTCAACCTGCGCCTTCTGTGCTTCATTTAGAACCCTCTGCCATACTGGAACTGACGAGCGAATACAAGAAATCCAAGCCGTAGGGTCAGAAGACGAGATCGGGAGGTCTCGGAAAGCCGGGTGGGAATCACGTACCCCTTTCAAGTCGTCAAAGATCTGGTTTAGCCAAGGGATATGTTCAGCCTTCTGGGAGGCCTTTCCGTGTAAAGTACTGCGAGCAACGGCTTCGGGGCCGCAGTTAGCACTTGCGCGAAAAAACGAAACCTGGCGACAATGAACACTACCTGCACCGTTCGCCGCAAAACAAACGCCAACACATCCGTGTAAGTAGGGCATCGATTTTCGAATAGGGGCTGCCAGAGAAATCTGCGATATCTCTTTACATAATATACTCGCATCCGAGCCGAGTCGTTACCTAGCATGTTATACCACGTACAAACTCCATACACGTCAGAATTCATGACCAGGGACTCGGCAAACACACAACCTCGGCAAATCCGACAGGCTAGAGGCTCGGTTAGAGGTGTAGGAAGGAGAGAAGAAGGAGAGAGAGAAGGAGAGGAGAGGAGAGGGAAGGAGCGGAGAGAGGAGAGGAGAGGAGAGGAGGAGAGGAGAGAAAGAAGGAGAGGAGAGAGAGGAGAGGAGAAGGAGGAGAGAGGAGAAGGAGAGGAGAAAGAAGGAGAGGAGAAAGAGGAGAGGAGAGGAGAAGGAGAGGAGAGGAGAGGAGAAGGAGAGGAGAGGAGAGGAGAGAAAGAAGGAGAGAGAGAGAGAGAAGGAGAGGAGAGGAGAGGAAGGAGAGAAGAGGAGTAGAGAGGAGAGGAGAGGGAATCGCAAAATCGTCCTGGGGGCAAGCGGGCCCGCCTCTTCGACCGGCGTCGGCAGCGCCGGCCCTGCCGCCACGGAGGGAAGTGGCAGGCAGAGGCGCGGGGGGTGCATTGGGGGCGACGCCTGGCACAACTCTCCCCGCAGGCCAGGGTGTGGGGGGACCCCACCCTCTTTCCCTTGTCCTCCTCCTCCCCCTATTCCTCCTCTTCATTTCATTAAGCTTATCCTATTCCTCCTTCCTCCCCCTATTCCTCCTACTTCCCCGCTTCCTCCTTCCTCCCCCTATTCCTTCCTACGCCATTCCCCCTATTCCTCCCTCCTCCCCCTATTCCTCCTCCTCCCCCTATTCCTCCTCCTCATTTCCCTCCGCATCACCAACAACAGTATCATTCCCCCCCTCTCTTTCCCCACTCCCTGGTCGTCCTGCTCCGCCATCTATCTGGCCCTCCATCCCCCTCCTCCTCATTCTCATGAACCTCCTCATCATCACATCATCATCACCCGTCATCATAACCACCACCCTCCGGAGGGAGGTTTGATATTCGAGACGGTTGGACGTTTTCTGACCTTTTTGGAACCTCCTGGAGCGCCCCTCTGGTCGCAACAGCTGGAGCCGCCTCAGAGTTCTGGTACGAACGCACCACAGGAAGGGCGCCTCGGTCGAGCCTGGCCCTCTCTCTCGCTCGCTCGCTCGCTCGCTCTCTCACTTTCTCTCTCTCTCTCTTTCTCTCATTTGTACTCTCTCTCTCTCTCTCTTTCTATCTCTCTCTCTCTCTCTGCTTATCCTTGTATGCGTCTCTCTTTGTTTCCTCTATCTCTCCCACTCTCTGTCTACATGCTTACCGTTCACTCCATCACTCCCTCCCTCCCTCCCTCGATCTCTCTCCACATACGCTCAATCCAGCGTGCGGGCCCCGAGCAGGGAGCCTGTCTGGCGCCGCGGAGTGCGACTTGAGGGAAGTACCATACGAAGCGCGATGCAGCTTGCAGGCCGCAGTTAAACAGTGCAACTTGGGTGCTGGCTCTAGTGGTTGAACCTCTCGGATGCAACTTGTGAGCTGCACCAGAACAGGGTGCAGCCAATGGGGTGCACATGTCGTAGTAAAGTTTTGGGGGCAGGACTTGATGGGTACGTTGCGCTGTATAGGCCTAACATTGTGGCGCAATGTTTGGGTGCACCTCATGTCGCGTGGCGGCGACAGCAACTGCAAGACTCCCCGAACAATGCTCTTTGCCAGGGCAGATAAGAGCCACTTGCGGACCCCGAACAGTAAATTCACGCGCACTGGATACGCAGATGATGTGGTGAGACAGAGTGGGGCAAACTATGTGGTGAAGAAGCGCTGCGCACCCTGCGTGTGTAAGAAACGGTAGTGGTATCAACAATCAGAACAGTTGCCATCTTAGTCGTGGTACAATTACAACAAGACAAACACTATCAGTGGATGGTTTGAACAATCGTGATATGGAAATTGAAATCGCTTCTGAGATCGATGGTGATATCCGAGGGCGATAGGAAGGACGCCGTGAAAAACAATGAAGTCGGTTCGATGAGATCGATAGTGAGATCTGTCGTAAGATCGCTCGTGCGATCTATAGTGAGATAGCTTGGGAGATCGATAAAGGCGATCGATTGTGAGATCGATCGTGAGATCGATAGAGAGGTGGGTAATGAGATGGACTGTGAGACCGATCGATCAAGAGATCGGCCAAGACCCTGGGAACCCCAAAACCCAAGAACCCTGCCAAACACCGAAATCTTCCCGGAACCAACAGACGGGAACCCCGGAGCCCGGAACCGGGAACCCCGGAACCAGGCCGCCCACCGAAATCGGCCCGGCACTTTCGCCAAATCGTTCAATCTCTGTTAGGACCCATTCAGTGCAAGCACTGATTGGGCATGGGGCATCCTGTGTGATTTGTGTGGGGGGCATCCTTCGCGCCCCAAACCGCATGGGCGTGCCAAGGACGGGCTTCCTTCTCTCGGCCTGATGTTCCCTTAGCCCACATTCCTCTTGCTTGAGCTCGCATGTCGAGGTGCACCGTTTCCTAGTCGCAATATATGTGCTCTTCTGCTTCGGATCTTCAACTGACGTGCTTCTTCCGACTGCATCGGCGACGTAGGCCCTGTTGGTTGCATACACCTCTGGGAGCCCCACCGCTCCGTCACCTCGCTGAACTGTCTTCTCTGTCGCCTCCACCGCCGTCTGCCTAACTGGCGCTCCAGCTTGGACTTACAAATTCAATGCCAGCCGGCCCGCATGCTTCGTCTTAGCGTTGCCACTGTGCCATGTTGCTGTCCCTCGTCTCCTGGTCTTGTGTCGCCCTGGCCTGGTCCCGCGGTCGCCGCTGCGACCGGTCAGGGTGTGGCTGCGTCCAGGGAGGGGTCCTGGGGCCCTCTTGGGCCTTCGTGGGGCGATCTTGGGACGCGAACGCGAAACACATACAAAAACACACGGAACAGCACTGATGTGTGCGTCTTTGGGCCCTCTTGGGGGTCCTCTTGGAGCGCTCTTGGGGTTTCTTTTGGGCCTCTTGGGCCGTATTGGGGCCATCGTGGGCGTCTTGGAGCGCTCTTAGTCTGTCTTGGAAGCCTCTTGGACCCTATTGGGCGCTTTCTGGAGCCCTCTTGTCCCGTCTTTGGGCCCCCTTGGCCTCTCCGACTGCCTCTGGGAAGCGAACCAAAAGGGTATCAAAATTATTACGGGGTGGTTGCGAACTGGGCCACCCCAGGGGGCGGTCTATTCGTTTATCTCATGTGTGTACTCGATCTCTCTCTTTCTCTCTGTCTCTTTTCTCTCCTGTCCCCTTTGTCTTAGTCTGCCGTCTCTTCTATCTCTCTCTCTCTCTGTCCTTCTCTCTCTCTCTCTCCTTCGCAGTCCTGGGTGTGACAGCGCGCGCGCGCGCCGCCCTGCCGCCGCCCTGCAGAGGAACAGCTGTCGCACGAGCCCCAGAATGGGGACTTTCCCACCGATGGGCGGGTGTCCTGGGTGGCGCTCCACTTTGCTGCGGCAAGCCCGATGTCTAGACCTCTGAATGCCCGCGGACTCTGAAACAATCTATTTTCCGCCTCCTCCCTCTCCTTAGACCTCACGCGTCGCGACTTGTGCTCAACGTGGGCTCCGACCAATTCCAGGGGACCATCGTTCCATCCTGACTTGCTTTCTACTGCCCTGGGGCCCGGCAAAGGCCCCCGGCGGCCGAACATGCTCTCACTGCCTCCGTGCTGCTCCTGCCCTCGATCTCCCAGCAGCCATCGGTGCGGGCCTCCGAAGATGTCGCCGGGTCTCTTCTTGCCGAGAGCCATGCCCTGGGCGGCCGCCACCGGGGAAGCCAACAGCGGCGGGCAAGCATGGCGGCGCAGCTCGGGCTCTGCAAGAGCAGGGTGCCCCGAGGTCGCCCCCTCCGGGAGGACGGGACCCCGCCGTCGAAGGCCGCAGGAGGTGGCCCTGGCACCAGGTGCCCTCGGCTCTCCACGCCGCTGTGGGCCCCCCCCCCCGGGGCCTTCCAAACTCAGAGCGTGAATTACCTACCCCGCTTTCGCTTCCAAGCAAAACCAAGCCATACCACGCGCCTCCTCGTCAAGCGGCCTGACCAGTACAGGCTGCAATTTGGCATCGTTTGGTATCTCTTGGAAGCGAGGGTGGTCAAAAGCGAGGTAGGTTTGTTTTCCCCCGACAAACCTCCTGCCGGGGTGCTCTCGAGGCCGTCTGGACCTCCCTGGGGCCCCATGCGGGCCACGGCCACCAGGGGCGAAACCAGGCCCTGCCGGTCTCTCTCTGCCCCTCGCGCCCCTGCTCCGCAAGGGGAGGAGAGCGCAGCGCGCCCAGGGGCGATGCCGGGCGAGCTCGAGGGCTCGGAGGGGCGGCCGAGCAGAGCCCTGCAGGCCCCCAGAAGGCCCTGGGGGGCGGCTCCAGAGGTAGAGGAAAGAGAACTATGCACATGCACCGATTCTGGCCAGACCCATCCTGAGCCCATGATCGGTGCATACGCCCTCGTGCCTTTGCCAGGAAGGCATATGCACCGATCCTGGGTCAAGGATGGGCCTTGCCAGGATCGGTGCATGTGCATAGTAATCTTCGCCCGAAGAGGTCGCCCGAGATCTCCTGGGGCCCGCGGAAGCCCAAGCGGGTCCAGGCGTCCAAAAGGCTCGATCCTCGGACCTCCAGCACCGAAGGGGAGGAGGAGGGCGATGGGGTGGAGTCGACCACGCCGCCGCCAGTCCGCCGACGGCCCCCTCGCGGCGCGAGGGGCAATTGAACGAGGAAGTGTGCCTTGAGTGCGACCGGAGAGGGCTCGGGTTGCCAGCGGGGGCGTCAAACGCCCCGCCCCTTAGGGACTCAGACGGGGGAACATCGACGGGGAATCGGTGATGCATCGCCGATAGATCGGCGATTGGCTCCCGATAGCGACACCGCAGATTCTCTGGGTGGGCTATGCGGCCCCTTTCGGCGATGAATGGACGATTGGAGGTCGATGCCTTCCCCTCCGAGCCTACACCCCCGCTATCGTTGCCCCCGAGATGGCCCCCCTACTGCAATTACTGGGCCTGGAGGGAAGCTGAACAAACACTTCGCGTTCCATGCCCGAGGGGCCCGTCGAAGTAATTCTCGAGTCGGACTATGAGGGGGGGCTACGAAAAGGGGGGGTCAACGCATCAATACACCTGGCTGATTTTTCGGGAGCCGAAACCAACTACGTGCAGTATTCCTTACCCCCCCTCTTTACCCGGCCCTCCTCTCCGTCCGACCCGAGCTTCGCCCCCCCCCCCCCCCCCCCCCTCCCCCCTACCCCACCCACCCAACCCACCGCCCGCCCAACAAAAATGTGGGCAGATGGACAAAGATGGGCCTCGAGGGCGACCAAGCGTCGGTCTGCTGAGTGACACTCGCGGGCGCCAGGGCCAAGTACTGCAGGGAAGGAGTGGCGAGCCCGACTCGAAGCCGCGGTGAGATAGGACGACGGGCTGCGGCAGTAATGCAACTTGTTGGCGACATCGTAGTCGCCGACGATCGATGACCGCGCTATGTTCTGGGTTATAAGACGTGTTTGGGCGATTGTGTTGTGTTTTTGGTCGTCCTGGTGGGCTCGCAGGACAGACAGTTTGCGCAGGAGGGATAACCAATCCCACAATGTGAGCACGCGATGGTCCCCTGCACAATGGGCACCCAAACGGGGAGAGTCGTTGAAACGAGGGGGGCTCTTCGGCTCCTGCAGAGCATCTGTGGCTGATGCCTCAAAAACAAGCCACGAGGCCCCAAAGACGGCCCACAGCCCCAACACACATCTCAAGCGGCCCCCAAGAGGTGTCCGATGGAACTCCAAGAGGCACCACCGGTGGTCCAAGAAGCCCTTAGACGACCCAGTGAGCCACCGAGGCCCCAACAGACTGCCTGGACGGCCTCTCTGATGCGTCCGAGGGGGACGGAACGGAACGGAACGGAAACACTGAGTACGAGCCGCACGCGCTAGTGCCCGGCTGCGTGCCCCAAGGGCTCAGTGTAAGCTGGTCCGCCCATCGTGCCAGCGGGCGCCCGCGGGCTTTCTGTCCAGCTGGAATCCAATCCTGTACCCTTCGGGCCCACCGTGCAGCACTCATTTGGCCCAATCGTTCACTCCAGCGTTGGAAGCCTGGAGCGTCGCTCGTCGATCCATCCGGGTATGTGCCTCGTTTGTAACGCGCTGTGCCGCCTCGTTGATTCATAACTTGCCGCCCCCCGCTTGTAACGCGCTGTACCCATTCCGCCCATGTTTCAATGTCCCCTTCTGGTGAAACAGTGCGTCGTCGCGTCGTCGTCCAAGCATCGCCCTGATCATCATGAACTGCGTGTTTTGCAACCGTGAGTCCCGCTCAGCTGTCATCGCCCAGCTGCCGCAGCCGTGCCGAGCAGCTGGAGTCGCAACATAATGAAACAGCCTCAACCTAAAGTTGGATCGGGACAGCCCTGTCAGTCCTGGGGAGGGGAGGGGAGGGGAGGGGAGGGACCCAAACATCCTCCGAGAGACTCCGACGCCCCCCAAAACCTTGAACATGAACGCGCGTACCCAAACAGCCCAAAAACCACAACATATCGTTTTGTAAAGATGACCGAAAATGACTTCTGGCGAGAGAGCCTATGAAGTAGAGTGCCCTTTTTTACGTTCATTACGACGGGACTCGTCCGCCCGCACTCTCAATCATCTCTGTTCGCCCCTCGCTGCGCTGGCCAATCTTCGATCACACAAGACCAAATATTATGTCACATAACAGGACCGTGTGAAATCGGATCGCATCAGAGCAAAGGGGCAGCTGGTCGACGATACAGAACAAGGTGAAACAAACGTTTTCTCCAGAAAAGGGAGTAAAGAATCCCACCAACCCTTCAGGGCGTTTGGTGGTCTAGAGCGTTTCCTCTTCCAACCCGCATTCGCCCCCTTTCGGGAAGGGTTTTACCATTGAACTATACACCCCCTCCCCCAGGCGACCGGCGTCCAATCAGGAACTATGAGGACACCATGAAGGCCCGCCCCCACCGTACCTGTCAACAAATCCGCCGACCCTGTCGGCGTGTTCGAAGAGTTTGTCCGTCGTCTCCTCGTCGTCTTCGTCGTCGTCAGAATCGTATATTCGTCGTATCCGTTGTCGCCCGTCCCTTTTTTTTTTTCTGGGCCCTTCTCAGCCCTCCTCAAGCGTGCCATCCAAAGCGACATTGTACAACGTCGTAGTGGAGTCGAAGGGGAGCCCTTTTCCTTTGATCCCTTCGCCGCGGGGGGGAGGGGGTCCAGGGGGGGGGGCCCACGGGAGGTCGCCGCCCAGATTCGCGTTCCCCTGGGCGGCCCCGACATATCGAACAGCCCCAAAAAGAACCCAGGATGCCGAACATGGCTCCCGCAATTGCCCACAAGAGCCCCGTGTCGCTCAAAGATCGGCCCAACACGGCCAATATAACCCCAAGACGAACGAAAAAAACCTCCTAGACGCCCCAGGAGCTCTCCAATAACGCCTCCACCAAGGCTCGAATAGGCTCCTCCCCTCCTCTTCCTCTCCCTCCTCTCTCTCTCTCTCTCTCTTTCTCTCTCTCTCTCTCTCCTCCTCTCTTCCATCCTACCTCCTCCTCCTCCTCCTCCTCCTCCTCCCTCCTCCTCCTCCTCCTCTCTCCTCCTCCTCCTCCTCCTCCTCCTCCCCCTCCTCCGCCTCCTCCTCCTCCCTCCTTTTCCTTCTCATCCTGGCCCCTTCCTCCCCCTGCATTCTCTACTACTCCTCCCCCTTCCGCCTTCCTCTCCTCCTCGCCCCCCCCCTCAGTATCCTTCTTGTCATGTTCCTCATCAGCGTTGTTCCGTCTTCCTCTTCTTCCTGAGTGTCCTCCTCCTCCTTCTGACCTCCCTCGTCTTCCTATGCCTCGTCCATCTCTCCATTATCCTTCTTATCCGCCTCCTCCTCGCCCTCTGTGTCCCTCCTCTTTCTCCTCCTCCTACCCGCCCTTCTCTTCCTGTTCCTCCTCATCCACATCCCTCTCTCAGGCAGGATAAGCCCCCCCCCTTCTCATCCTCTTCCAATTCCCCTTCCTTCCCCCCTTCAACGTGCCCCGAAGAGGCCCCCAGGAAACCCGAAGACGGCTCCAATAACCCACAGCGAGATCTCAACTACTTCCAAAAGGCCCAAGCCGAAACCCTCAAGAGCCCTCGAAATATTCCTGCGACAAGCACCGCGGAATTCCCGAATGCCGCGTTGTCGTCCTCCTCCTCCTGGCACGTGACTGAGGCGCAGCAGGCTCATGATCATGATGGTTGTCGCCATGCCTCGGCCTGCACCTGTGGCAGGACCGACTGGGTGGCACTCTAGGAGACGCCTTGGGCATCTCTGGGCAGCCTACTGACAATATTATAGAGATGAAAAAGCAGCGACAGTGGAAGGGGGGGAATCAGGGGAGGGGTCAGAGAAGCCAATAAGCAAAATCGGACAGGACGGGACGGGGCGACGAATCGTGCACGATAACGCCTCACGGAATCTAGAATACATCAAAAAGTGAGCCTGAGAGCCAGGGGTTTGACAGCCTAGGCAACACACAAACAATCGATAGCATTCATCTGGTCAGGACGGTGGAAACGCGAAACCGTAGTCCAACCCCAACACAAAGACTTCAAGACGGCATTCGCCCACTAGCTGGGCACCTGGACAAGGACAGCGCGCGCTCTGGTCCAGGGGATGGATTGGATGGCCCTGCGTCTTTCGGGGAAGTATGTTAACCGTCTCTCGCAAAACAGGCGCTCAAGATGATCCGGGCGCAGCGCGCCCGAGAGAACCTTGGCGGCCCGCGCTTGAAGCCCACGG